AGTGGTGTGCGACAGGTTCAAAACGATGGTCAGCAAAGTGCTCAGGCCAGCCCACCAGCAACTGTGGCTGGATCTCCATCGTCTTCATCTACGCAGTTGCCTGTTGCTCCTCAGTCCAATCGTGTTGCAAGAATTCAGTTTTCAGATCAACATGGCTCAGATGTTCAAAAGCATGATGAGTTGGTGTTTGATGTCAGGACCCCCATCAGTGAAGCTCATGCCTTTGATGGGTGTGTGAACGTTGTGCAGTTTTACGTAGGTGACGAGCCCGATGCGCATTTTGCAAACAACATTGGAAGTCACATGATCAGAACCATGCTTGAGAGCGTTCCAGATGAAACAGAGATGCACAGTATCTTGCTTGATTCAGGTGCCGACGCCTCAGTTTTTCCTGCTTCAATGGCTGAATTGGGATGTCCTTCACATGCAACAGCTTCCTTGTTGAGAGATGCACAGGGAAACACAATTCCACTGCATGGCATGCGTGATGTTGAGATCCACTTGATGGACATGCAGGGACATTCAGTGACTATCAAGGAGTCAGTGGCGCTGAGTGATCAGATTTCTCAGCCTATTTTGTGCTTTGGACGTTTGCTTGAATCAGGGTGGAGCATTGATGGAAAACAACAAACGCTGACACATGGCTCAGTTTCAATCCCAATCGAGATGCAGCATAGGAGCATGACCCTCAGAGGCTGGATCAGAGCAGTTAGAGTGAGAGGAGCCTGTGATTTTGGAACCACTTTGCATCAGAAATGTGCGTGCTGAAATTTTCAATGAGTTGGCTTTCTTGTGCATTGGATGGAACCTTAGTCCCGAAGGGGTTGGTTCAGGAAAACACTATGCAAATTGCTTTCAAGATCCAACGCTTGCTTGCCCAACGATGTCAGGGAGAAAATTTCGAACAACGCTGATTCAACATGAGGAACAATGGCTGGTGATGGAGCTCTGTGAACCACTGGACTCAATCATTGACCTTTCAGCTGAGTTTTACGGTTTTGAGGGAGACAGATTTGTTGTGACAGTGATTACAACAGCTGAGAAAGCACCACATGTCATGGGTTTTCGTTTGCTGGATGATGATGAGGATGTCCAGCCAGCGTTACAGGTTGAAGAAAGACCTCATGCTGAAGTTGCAGCACCTATCGCACCTGAGGACGAAGTTGCTGGTGTTGACATTGATGTTGAACCCCATGATGCAGGTCAGGACATACAAGGTCAATTGGTTGTTTCTCCAGAGCGTGGTGACCATATGGTTGTTAATGGCGTGGAGCTTTACAAGGAAACAGCTCTTGCAACGTTGAGAGAAGCTTGTGCCTTCTACAATCTTTCACAGTCTGGATCCAAGTCAAGATGCTTTGACAGGTTGTGGGAACATCAGAAGCGTTTGGAGTTGCAAATTGTTTTGTCAGCTGCAAGAGAAACTGAAGCAGAACAACAGCGCCAACCCAAACCACAACGGTTGGCAGAACCTCCAGATGAAAGGACACAACAGCTGCACAATTTGACTCACCTACCCTATCAGGAATGGTGCCCACACTGCGTTGCATTCAGAGCCAGACCAGACAGACACCAACGAGATGGTTCAGTGAAAGATTCTGGCATACCAACTGTTTCCTTTGATTTTGCGTACACAAAGGCTGTTGAACCTGGAGGTCAAGCTCAACAGACAAGCGCGGCCATTGCTTTGGTACTTGTGGATTCCTCAACAAACTTCACAGGTTGTGTGCCAATTTCCAAGAAGAATGACTTCGATGTGATGGTGCGTGAGATCATCCAGTTTTCACAGATCTTGGGTCATGGTGAATGCAATTTTCTTTGCGACAACGAGCCGTCAATCATGCAAGTTCAAAAGAAGGCTGTTCAAGCTCGACGTGCAATGGGATTGATGACTCATAGCAAAACTCCAGCTGCATATACCCATGGAAATAGCTTGTGCGAGAACACTGTGAACCGTGTGCGTGGCCTTGCAGGAACTTTGATGAATCATGTGGAGGCCAAACTTTCGATCAAGCTCAACACCAATCATGGCTTGTGGAGTTGGGCCCTAAGACATGCAAGCTGGCTGCTCAACAGATTTTCAGTTGTGCATGGCGCTACTCCCTATGAACTGGTTTATGCCAAAGTTTACAAGGGCAGAATGACTGAATTTGCAGAGCCGGCATTTGCATACACACATACAGCTATGAAGGGAAACCCACGTTGGCAAAGGGTCATTGTTCTTGGCAAGACAGAAAGCCAGGACACATACGTTGTCTTCACTGGTTCAACAATCATGCTTACAAGATCAGTGAGACGCATTGCAACTGACTGGAAGTGCCATCTTGGATTCTTTCTTCACTTCAACTCCCCGACATGGAGATTCAAGGCTGGATTTGGTGGAAGGATTATTCCAACGAAGAGATCAGTAGAGGGACAATCAGCTAGCTTTGTAGCACCTCAGACAGCAGTTCTTCCTTCTCCCTTTCATGACAAAGATGCTGAAGATGTGAAACAGAAAATGTTGGAAGAGAAAACAGAGGCACGTGAAAGCCTTTCAATGGGACAGGAAGACAAACCTTCAGGTGATACTGCTTTGAAACATGATGACAAACGAAGTGCTGACGTTGATCTGGTTGAACCCTCAACTGTTTTGCAACCTTCCTCATCTCCTTCTATGCCAAGCAGACCAGGAAACGTTGTGGTCGACTCAGTGTTTGATGATGATGTTGATACCTCTTTTCTTTCTACAATGGAAGGTCAGGTGGACATGCAACATGACACAGGGCAAAGTGCACCAGTGACACCACCAACAACGTCCATGCAATTGCCTCCAACACCGAGACAGCAACATGAGACTCGATCCCATGGTCCAGATGAAGGAGATCATGAGGCAAAGCGTGCCCGTGTTGAGGCACAGAAGAAACAGAAAATCACCAGAATGATGGAGTTCAACGAGTCCATGATCAGAACAGTCAAGGTTGGAGCTGATGAATTTGCAACTTTGGACGATTATGAAAATGAGTTGGACCTTGATGCAGACACACTGGAAGATGAGTTTTGGTGTGACGAGGATGAACTACGTTTTGACAATGTGCCAGATGCCTTGTGGTCCAATGCTTCACTTGACAAGCAACCTCAGGCGCCCGATGCCTGGATTGATGAACTGGCTGACGCAGTTGAAATCGACAGACTCTTGAAGATGGGAGTTCTACAGAAAGCTGAAGAGTGCCAAGAGGTTGTTTCAGGATCTCTTACAACGAGATTTGTCTATGATTGGAGGATCAAAGGCAGCCCTGATGGAACAAAGAAGTGAACGCGCCGAAGCAGATTTGTTGCCAGGGAATTCGCTATGTTGAAACGCAGCGACACCTACTCACCTGCAACTGGATCACATACATCCAATTTGGTGCCTCTTGTTTACTTGAGGATGTTGGGTGAATCACTGGAAACAACAAGTGACAGCGCATACGAGATCACCCTAGCTGCTTTGGACATCAAAGATGCCTTCCTTCAGGTACCACAGGAGAACTTGGTGGAGGTTTCATTGTACAACCAGAAGTATATCATCAAGCGAAACTTGCCTGGACAACGTTTGGGTGCAAAGGCTTGGTATTGGTTTTTTCGAGATTACGCAACCAATGCTCTCCAATGTGAATGGAGTGTGGAACAACCATGTCTGGCGCGTTGCACAAGAGATGGAGTTCACAACTGTTTCATGATCCATGTGGATGATTTGCTTTTCACTGGAAGTGCGAAGTTTTGGGCTGAAACGTTTTTGCCTACGATGGAAGCAAAGTTCAATGTGAGCCACAGCGAGTTGAAAGGTGATGGAACAGAGATTTCATTTTTGAAAAGACGTTTGGTTAAGCTCTCTGATGGACTGCTTCTCATTCCAGGAACAACAGTGGAAAAGGTTGTGGCATACTTTGAGCGTTTCTTTGGCCCTGCAAGATCTCAAAAGATCCCATGCGACAGCTCGGTTCAGAATCAAGATGAGTCGAGGCCTTTAACACCTGGTGACAGCAAAGCTTACAGGAGCGTAATTGGCCTATTACTCTATGTTGCTCGAGACCGCATCGACGTGATGTTCACTGTGAAGGAGCTATCTTCATGCATGGCAGCTCCAACAACCTTAGCCCTTCAGCGTCTCAGAAAACTCATCGGCTACTTGAAAGCCAGTGGCAACATGGGAATCAAACTTTTCATCCCAGAGTTTGGTGCTGGGAAGACGCGACAAGGAGCTGAGACCTTTTGGTTGCTGGAGACGTACACTGATGCTGATTGGTCTGCAAACAAAAGACATCGCAGATCAACCTCATGTGCAATTCACATGGTGAATGGAAACTTCACTTTTGGGCCAAGCAGGACACAGCGAGTGGTGTCTTTGTCAAGCGCCGAGAGCGAGCTGCACAGTATGGCACAGTATGGTTTCAGGGTGCTCAGATGCAATATTCATCAAGAGGTGTTTAGAGTTTTTGAGCTGCAGCAAAGTGACCCATCAACAGTGGACTGACAACTCAGCTGCACGAATGCTTGTGCAGAGACAAGGAGTTGGACGCATCAGACATCTCAGTGGAAAGATCCTTTGGATTCAGAGCTTGGTACTTCAAGATGAAGTCACAGTGGGCCAAATACCAACAGCATGGAACTACAGCGATGTGGGAACAAAGCCACTTGCAAGGAACCGACTACTTGCACTGCTCAACCAATTGGGGGTGACAGACCCAATTACCTTTCAAAGCGTTGGGCAGGAGGAGTACGAGCTGGCAGCAGTAAAGACTCAACATGAGCAGAGTCTAAAACGCCTTACAAAAGCGATTCTGCGCATGACAGCTGCATGGGGCCTTGAGTCAGGTTTTCACGTGGGAGCAGAGGCCACAAAAGTTGATGAGGTTTGCCTCTCAGGTGAGGCTTGTGGAAACGATGGGAACCAATGGCTATGGCTGGCAATGTTTTTCATGCTTTTGATGATGGTTGGTTTTGCAATCAAAGGGTATTTCATGTGGCGACAGGTTTCAATGGACTTGACTCATTGTTGGCAACAAGTTGGAGACGAAGATGCATACGTTGCGACACAAGAAGCAAGGATTGATGCATTGATGCGAAAGTTTGAAACTCTGGAAGGTCAGCTACAACAAGTGGTGGCCGAGATGAAGGATGAGATCCAAAGAATTGGAAATGAGACAAACATGGTGCATGATTATGCCTCAGGTCTTCACTACTCCATTGTTGAGAATGGAGGTTTCCTGAGGAATGGCTTGGGACTCACACACCAACAGTGGGTCCACCTTACAACGTTAGAAAGGGCAAACATGGTAGCAGCCCGAGTGATGGGCGCAGTGGACTACATGCGTGCCATTCGACAAAGGTATGGAACCTATGGTCAGGCAGATGAAACCGATGCAATTCCTATGGAAACTGAAGACACAGCTACCACACCTTCAAGTGCAGAGACCATAACTGGACTTCTGGATTTTCTCAAGATCGAACACAACAGATGCTTGGAGAACATGGAGCTTTGGGATGCCAACGCAATCCAAGGCTTGATTTTGCAATTTCTGGAAGAAATGAGAGAAGCTTCTGGATCAGACTTGATGAGACGATGTGTTTCAAAAGTTTCAGAGGTCTTCAGGGATTTGCACAAGAAGGCGATTGAACAAAACAGATGGGAAAGTGTTGACAGGTATCAGATGGTTTTTCAGATGTATGCACCGGAGTGAAACAAAGAAATGTTTCTCAATGCCACTACAGCAACAATGGCTGAGTGAGCGTGGAACAGAAAACAAAGAAAAATGGAAGAGTGCAAATGTGAACGTTGCTCACACTTGCAAGGAGGAGTGGCTAGAATTTCCAATCATACTCATTGCCTTCAGACGTTCATACAGACTGCACTGTGAGACAGCATGCAGCATGGATGACACTGCACAAATCGAGAAGAGACGTGTAGGAATTCTGACCTCATATACATGAAATCATGTATGTATCCTTGAGGCCTTTTGGCTAGAAAAAGAGCCGCTGCCTGCTTCGCAAAGTGAGATATGACGACCACATGCGAGATGAAAAAAAGGCTCTTGAAACTTTTCGTCGTCTGATGCAGAAATTGGTCATTGAACAAATGACAAAAGGTGAGGCGTTTTGGCACATGGATGTGAAAAACACACGGTTGTGCAAATCCGTGTTACCATGTTTTTGGGGGGTGACAGCTATCCAAGTGGCTTTCAGCAAAACAGCAAGTGTGGTGTGCCCCAAATCGAACGTACGGCAACACAGTCTTTTGCCACTTGAGTAGAACGCATGTAGATTCAGCACGATTGTCAAACAGAGTTTGTTGTTGGTGTGATGAGCGCGTTCAGCGTGATCTGTGAACGTTCAACACCTAAAACGATTTGCGTTAGAAAACTTAATGCCAACAACCAGTTTCCGGCATGGTTTGGTAGATCATTTGTTAATCTTTCGGGCATGGGCTCACCAAACAGTGGTTGTTTTGCACAAATCCACTGCAAAAATGCCAGCCCGTAGAGTTTTTCAATTGTTGCAATTTATGTTTTCATTTCGTGCTTGCCACTCCGCCCTTTTCTTCCGCAATTTCTGGATGTTGCTTTTCGACAATGTCAGAAAATTGTCATACCACCTATATATTCTTAATAATACATTTGGCATCGGGTTGGTGCGCACAACATCAAAACCTATTGATCCGCAACTGATCAAATTTTTGTTGTCGCATCCTCTTTGAAACGCTGTCGCTCGATTTCCGAAACTTTAACTTGGAAGGGGTCAAAATTGATGATGCAATAATTGTGGGGATGAATATCCATGTTTACCAACTATTCCCCTGTCCAGACCCAAAACCATAGCGATGATGTCAGCAGTGGACCACAACCACCATCCGTTTGACATGTGCCATGAAGAAAGGGTCCAACAAACTCAGGCGGGGTTTTTGATGCCTTTGGTAATATATGTGTGATTTGAAAATTGTTTTCTTGATGTGCAGTTCTTCTTTGGTGAACGTGTGAGTGTTAGTACATTTATTCCCCTTCTTCGCGTGCATAAAAACTGCCGATGTCCTATGATATCAAACTGGTTTTGGTCACATTTATTGGAGATCTCATGGAAGGCCGCAAAGCAAGGACGAGGGAAAAAATGGAGTGCAGGCGCGGCAGGTGGCACAATCAGGGGCCCTGACAGGGATCGTTTGGATTCACGAGGTATTTCATTTCATTTCGAGGGAAATACAATTGTCATCAATTGTCAAACTTGTTTTAATATTGACATAGCTACCGAGGTTCTTGGAATGTTGGATCAAAATTTGGGCAATCAAACTGATGCACCCTTCCAATTTGATGAGTGGAACAAAGGACCACACAATTAGTTGCCCAATTTGCAGCAGGGCTACAACTGGCCCTCAGCGCATGCAATCCTACTTTAGCAAAAGGGACATGCAGAAAACAATTGGATCTGTTATTTTTGGAATTCTTGAAATCACTCCGATATTTGTTCCAAACTTGGGGAGCGGATGCCCCAACAAATCGCCGCTTCGTTGAATCTTTTGAACGGACAGAAACATGCTGAGAGATCTGTCATTTTCTCCGGATACGAAAACATGCAAGCATCGAGGAATGGCATGATGAATACAAACCGTAACCACTTTGTTTGTGGTTTGAGACTGGTTTTCATGATTTTTGAGCCGTTGCTTTGCTTAGCTCAGGTGACAAAGGCCAAAGAGCTTCCACAGTGGCAGGAGCGCGCCCAGGGTGCCTGATCTTGTCGATTGGAATCCTATGATGTTGATGGTGTGAATCCACCCATGTGGGGTGCAGATTGGAATTGATTGGTCTGATATATGGGGCCCTATTTTTTCCCAGGACATCACTAGTTTCTGCATGTCCATTTGGTTTCACCTGGCTAGACCTTGTCCAATACCTCGATACATCTCGATGTAAGCGGCCCAGGAAGTGCTGAATGGCCAGGTGAGGTGTCTACCTTGCAACAAGGCTCTGGATGAGCAGCATCTGAGCACCGCTGCTCGCCTCAAGTTTTGGTGACATCCATCTAGGTGTTTGGGGTGTTTTTCTACCCTGGCAACTTTGGATACAGTCGAATAAAACAGGGCTCAGTATGGGTTCCAGTGGACTATTTCCATATATTTCCCATGTATTTCCCATGTATTTCCCATGTATTTCCCATGAAAAAATGGCATCGTAATGGGGGTATACCAGCCTCAATTTCCATCCATTTCCCATGAACCCAGGAGTCGCACAAAACGAAGTTGGAAAGATGGAAACAGGTGGGGGCGATGGGTAACTACACTGGCAACTACACTAGAATTTTTTCATCAAAGTAAATCAATATAGATATTACATATTTATGATTATTTATGTATATACACAGTATACACGCACATACTACCGTGCACTGCATTAATTACTTTACATGACCTCACTTTACGTACAAGCACCATGCCGTACCATACCATGCCAGGTCATGCCATGTTTGTCATGCCACCCACCCATCCAGCCACACACACCACGATACGACACGACAGGACACCACACGACAGTACACGATACAATATAGAATTATCATTCAATACAATTACAGATACAGATACAAATACAGATACAGATACTAATACTAATACTGATACTAATACTAATACTAATACTAATACTAATACTAGTTACTATTACCAATGCAATACAATACAATACAATACAATACAATACAATACAACATGTGCAATACGTACAACACATACAACACATACAACATCGATACATAGACACATTGATTCATTGATACAGTAATTAGAGATAGAGATGGATCCAGGCTTTATGGGTTGAATCATTGAACAAAATTGTTTGTGACACCCCGATGTGTTTGGTACCTGAAGAATGGGGTATACCGGTATACCCATTAAATGGCGATGTTTTTTTTGGGGCAACTCATACCATTGGATTTGTGGCGTGGCTGTGGTTAGCCATGGCATGCCATGGCTATCCGGCACGCTGCGCAGGCCTCAGAATTGGAAGCTGAAGGCTATCGAGCTCCAGAGCTGCCGTATTTGGCCTGGGTGCCTTATGAGGCCCGGTCAGCCCTGTCAGCCTGGTCAGCCTGGTCACGGGGTCACGGCCTGGTCACAGCAGATGGATGTGTTGATGGTGTACATTTTTTTGCCCAGGTTGATACAGTGCTGGAAAGGGTTTGTAAGGCTGGAAAACATCAGCTTCAGGTGACTGACTAGAAACCATGATGCTTTTCAAACAGAGTAGTGACACTTCGATTTTTCCCAGACATTGGTTGAGAGAGCACAGTCTGCCCAGCTTTCCAAGCCAATATCAACCACGATCATCACATAGATCTACATATTTGAGTATCGATACCTACAGAAAGGCAATATATATATATATATTACACCTATTTTTGTAAGATATAGTTGAATGGGACATACACTTCCGGTAATGTTGAGTCCTGATTAGTGTGTGGCCCCCCCCCCCTAAACTATTTCTGGACTCTCTTTAAAGTAGAAAGTCAAAAAATTTCTTCCCAAAAGAAAAACATATCCTCAATTAAGTAAGGATTTCAATTGGCTACAATTGAAATCTAATTACTATTGTTTTTTTTGCCGATGAAGTTGTGGTATTTGTAGTACTTGTAGTACTTGTAGTACATGTAGTACTTGTAGTACTTGTAGTACTTGTAGTACTTGTATAATAAGGGTTTAATAAGGGATTGGTTCTTTTGGGAAAGGCTTGCAGTTTGAATTTGGCAATTTTGGAAATGGCTTGCTTCCCTTCTTCAGGGGCTGCTCTGGCACAGCTTGCTCCAATAGTGAACCCAGCAAACAAACCTACTAAAGTGAAATGGGGCCTCTACTGGTCCAGGGCCTTGGAAAATTGTGGGAAAGCTGTTCTTTAATAAGGGTTTAATAAGGGATTGGTTCTTTTGGGAAAGGCTTGCAGTTTGAATTTGGCAATTTTGGAAATGGCTTGCTTCCCTTCTTCAGGGGCTGCTCTGGCACAGCTTGCTGCAATAGTGAACCCAGCAAACAAACCTACTAAAGTGAAATGGGGCCTCTACTGGTCCAGGGCCTTGGAAAATTGTGGGAAAGCTGTTCTTTAATAAGGGTTTAATAAGGGATTGGTTCTTTTGGGAAAGGCTTGCAGTTTGAATTTGGCAATTTTGGAAATGGCTTGCTTCCCTTCTTCAGGGGCTGCTCTGGCACAGCTTGCTGCAATAGTGAACCCAGCAAACAAACCTACTAAAGTGAAATGGGGCCTCTACTGGTCCAGGGCCTTGGAAAATTGTGGGAAAGCTGTTCTTTAATAAGGGTTTAATAAGGGATTGGTTCTTTTGGGAAAGGCTTGCAGTTTGAATTTGGCAATTTTGGAAATGGCTTGCTTCCCTTCTTCAGGGGCTGCTCTGGCACAGCTTGCTGCAATAGTGAACCCAGCAAACAAACCTACTAAAGTGAAATGGGGCCTCTACTGGTCCAGGGCCTTGGAAAATTGTGGGAAAGCTGTTCTTTAATAAGGGTTTAATAAGGGATTGGTTCTTTTGGGAAAGGCTTGCAGTTTGAATTTGGCAATTTTGGAAATGGCTTGCTTCCCTTCTTCAGGGGCTGCTCTGGCACAGCTTGCTGCAATAGTGAACCCAGCAAACAAACCCACTCAGATAGAGATGCATTTACAGGCTCAGATAGGGAGATGAGCAAAAAATTGACTGAGCTACAGCGTTTTTGAGAAAAAATGCCTCTCAGCAATTACAGTTTTTTTTGCAAAAAAAAAGGGCTCTCCCAATTTTTTTTGCCACAAAAGCGAACCCTCCAAACAATACATGAGTTTCAGAATAATTTGGAAAAAATTTGCCACAATAGCGACCCTAGGTACTAATCAGGACTCAACATTACATAACATTTCTCAGGCGTAGCAGGACTAGGAAACTTAAGGGTCATGCTTTTACCCACTGCTTGACCCGTGGTTTCACATAGTTCAATATGTTACTTTTGGCTCAAGTAAAACAGTCCGGTGTCTTGGTTTGTGCGGGTACCGGGTGAGTTTTGCATTCAAATAACTGGTTATCAGCCGTACCGTCTCTGCTGGTACGGACTGCGCCTTACATTCCTTGCATATATCTTAGGTAAACCTCACTTGCCTTGTGCCTGAGCCACCCTTGCTTGTAAGGCTAGCCAACTTAACCTCCATCCATTTTTCCAGCCGCCCGATCGGATTGCACAGGCTGGACGTGGATTGGAGATTGTCGCATTGAGTTCAGAATCCTGGCTGCAGTGTGATCGCTTCGCGCGACCGCTGTGTTGGCCAATAAGTGCAGCAAGAGACTTTGGGATTGCTAGTAGCTTGGTCTAGGCCTCGCTCGTAATCTTCCAAGTTCATTTTCGTATTCACATTCTTAAGACTCATTAACCTGTGGTGTTCACACCTGCGACCCACACAACTTCCATATCGAATACTGGACGCTGATCGCTTTAGGCGACGCGCTCCCTGAAAATTGGAACAACAAGACCAACTGTGACCCTAAAGAAGGAGAGAAAAGAAAGACCTTGACACGCAGACGTTGGCCCAAACAGGCGCTGTTTGTTTAGTGTCTTTGTTGCTGTGCCCCATTGTATGAGTGAGATACTCCCTCGGCCAACTCGTGGTGGAAAGACCGGATTGAGAGAACTCAGACGCTGGTATCTCTTTCCCCTCACTCAAGCACACCACGCGCTTGAACAAAAGTCGCAGCTGACTTCAAGCGAGGCGGACCTGTTTCATCAGTTACATCGGGTCATCAAGTTTGCAGCAACATTGGGCAAGCGAATTGCGGATTATCAAGACTCAGAAGACTTCGCACGCGACGCGGGGTTGAGTGTGGAACACCTTGAACTTGTGTTTCGCTCTGGTTCGGCAGCAAGCACTGCACCAGCTGCAGCTTTAGCCACATGGCCGACACCGCCCAACCATCCGCAACGCTGATCCAAGCAAGTGGTCCTAGGGAAGCAGCAGACGATCTGCTTCAAGCTTTCGGCATCGAGGGTGGACATTCCGAACAGATTGCCTTAGCGCTTCTAGACTTCCACGGGGTCATCGATCTTGATTGGGAAGAATCGTGCTCCATTGTTCGCACTTTGTTCCAAGAAGGCATTTACATCGGGTGTTTATCTTTTTGCCGAGATCCAGACACCATTGAACACGTGCGAAGTTACGTTGATCAGCTTGCTCAGGAGACCAGAGTGACAATCCCAGTTGTCATCACGCCCAGGAGGGTGATCAGAGAGTGCAAAACCTCAGCTGGCTGGTGCAAACCGGAGTTCCTAGAACAACTCCCTGTTGGAGAAAAGTTCTGGGTGTGCTTCATCGACGACAAGTGGGAGATCATCAACGACTGCAGAAGGGTCTTGACAGGTTCGCAATTCGTGAGATTGATCCACTGCAATCAAGGGCTGGGACGCGCGATTGAGCAGTGGGAGGGTCGAGTAAAAGGGTCACACCAGTTGGTTATTGGGAGTGAGTACACTCTTCGGATTATTCCATAAAGGGTTACATTCATCTTGTACTTTGTGTTCTCCTCATTCATTGAGTCGATCGAACCTTAGTATTTGATTAATTGTTGCATCCTGTGTTCGCTCCTAAGCGACCTGAAAATTATCAATGATGTCCACTGGGTTTTCTCCACCTGAATCAAGTTCACTTTCCACAGAACAGCCGATGGGGGAACGGGCTGCTGCCATGACAACTGTGGTTGAACACCAAGGGAGTGCCAGCAGAGGTCATTCCCGACAATCATCCAGCGAATCAAGTAGGAGTTCTTCAGAAAGAAAAGGGGTTAAGGAATCCAATATCAATAGGAAAGGTACCCTTGCCAGTCCGAAGCAGCGTGCCAGTGAAGGACGGATGCGCGGCGAGCAGGCGCAATAACTACTGCCTAACGTTGCTTTTCTGAATTGGCAAGAAATTAGCTGCAAAATAAAATTCGCAGGCCCGATGATTTCTTAACTGACAAGAATTTCTACTTGCAAAATGTAGCTCCCAGGCTTCAAAAGCGTTGCCCTCGCCATCTGCCTGCAGTTCTGTTGCCAAATCCTTTTCGCAACCGGCAAGAATCAAGCAACGTCGTTGATTTGTTCATGATATCTAAAGGCATTCAGTTTCAGTGGTAGTTGTGTGCTAATCAAATAAGTTTCAAGCTTCAAAATAATTTGCAACTCGCCTGAAGTCAGTTGTCGCTTCATTGCAGCTGGGTCACCGAAGTGCCAAACGGTCAGCTACGTTGAAAGCTAACCATTTTTGGAATTCCATTCGTCACATACCAGAACATATATAGCAAAGCAGGAGTGCAATGTTGATTTTAATATTGACAGGTATGTGTTGGAGTTTTCTGGAGCTTATTCCGGGTTTGGCCGTGGCACCAATGTTATCCACAAACCGAAATTAAATCAACTTGCTGAATTGAAGAAAAAAGTCACCATGTGCACAAGGAAGGAAACAGCGTGCCAGTGAAGGACGGAGGCCCTGCGGTAGGCAGCCAGTACTGCCTCACGTTGCTTTCTGAAACTAGCTGCAAAATGCAGCTGTCAGACTTTAAAAACTTTACCCTCGCTACTCCGAAGCAGCGTGCCAGTGAAGGATGGATGTGCGGCCAGAAGCCAGTAGTGCCTAACGTTGCTTGCTGAAGCGACAAGAAATTGGTTGGCTTCAAACCGTTACCTTCGCCACTCCAAAACAGCATGCCAGTGAAGGACCGATGGGCGAGGTTCGCCACTTAGTGGCGTTCCTGGAAGCAAGCTGAGGCCGGGGACTGCGGTTGGGGCCCGGAATCAGAATGAGGAATCATTTTTTCGCAAAAGGCAACTTGCATCTTCCATGTAACGAGACATATCCAACTTGCGAAACGCAATCAAGGTGTTTCAAACCATTAAGCAGTGGTGCGCAAGTTCAAGACTGCTCAGGCAAGACTAGTCAATAGCCCAGTCTTTTCTTCCCGGACGCACCCCCCTTGCCGTCGGCTGCGCGCCCCTGCGCGCCCCTCCTTGCCGGCGGCCGGGGTCGGCGGACATAAGCTATTTCCTGCATGCAACACTCATGAGAACATCACATACATCATTGCATATACATATGTATGTGCATATATATATATTTCACATTTGGCACAAATTCAAATCTTACATGCATTAGGACTTGACATTTACGTAAGTATGTGCACGTACATGACATGACATGACATTACATCACATTACATTAAACTACGCTACATTGCACTATATTACTTTAGATTAGATTAGATTACATTACATTACACACACGTACGTACATATACACTACACGCACATCTTGTACGTACGCACCGCATACACATATTTCCCCTGGCGATTTTTGATCCTCAGGGCACCCGTGCGCTGATGTGCCTCTTGTGTCGCAAATCTGGTCGTCCAAACGGGACGTGGGTTTCCGATGCGACGCTTGGCCGACGGTGAAATTTTGTGGGCCCCACCAGAAAACCACCAGCAATTGGATGGCTATGGTGAGCAATTCAAAAAGAACAACAGTCCAATTTTGGTAGATTTAAGCAAAACGATTATTTCTACGAAAGTCGGATTTAACCACCACCTGGCAACCAATACTGTAACACGTGTTTTCATCAATCAACACACACTTACTTCAAAAAGTAAATTTGAACAACAGAACAGCTGATTCAACAAGCGAAACGCGTGACAGAACCAGCTGAGAATTGGGAACAACTCCGGCGCACCGAAGTTCACATTTGGTTTTTTTACACTTAGTAAATTCGTGGAATGTTTCAACATCCGTTTTCTTCATCTAGAAAAACACATCAGTGATACAACAAATTGTTTGTTGTCACGGTGGTCATAAAAACAACTTTTTATCCAAACATTCTGTCATTTTTTTTGATCGTGTAGTCCTTTCCAGCAGGTTGACAGAGACCTGTTGTTCAGCATTCGCAGTGTTTGTCCTTTGCAAAAAACAATGACATCATATGTAGCAACCACAGCTTTTATCCTGCTTAACCAACAATTTTTTATTTGACTGGTTCGCAACCCTCTTCACGAACAACTCATGTCACCTGAAGCGATGAACCGAGCTTAAGGAGTGCGCATTGTGGCACGCATTCAGAGCCTGCGGGCTCCAAGGACTTTGGAGTTTGGGGGTTTTGTTGCCGACATGCGCATCATATATCAATATAAACACATGCGGATAGGTCAATACCTCTGAGACCATCAGTTTATGATACTTTATGCCAGGATGATCTTCGGGTAGTGGGTAGTTTTGATCCTTTTCGCTCATTGAGGTTGCTACATTTGGATACATTTGGTGTGAGAGTCTTCCATCAAAACCTGGTAGGAACATCGAAAAAATCTGGCGAACTATCCTCCTGGGCATCCATGGCTGCTTGGCAAATATCGCTGTGATTGGAACGACAAAAGTCGGACTTGCGGTTTGTTCCACAGTTCCACCGGATTTTTTTTCTCAGTGACGGTCCGACAGTCCGACATGGTCCGACCAGAACTGAGGTACGAGGACAACGTCACGCATGCGCGCCGCACCTTCCATCCCGAAGCTGTGCCTGAGCAAAATGCCAGGCTACGTAGGGCACCTACGTATGGCCAGTGCTATGAGTTAGGATAGTCGGATAGACATTGGACATCATTGGGCCAAAGGATACACCATTTTAGGAAAAACATGTTGGTTGTTTGACATTGACATGTTTTGAACATCAGCTACACAGATGGTTGTTGAACATGTTCCTGCTTATGGTTGGGTGGCTTCTTCATGTGATATTTCAATAGCCCCTCTCCAACGTGTCCAGAACTTTCTGATGTTGGCCCAGTGGGGCCAATGGAGCCAATTCAACGGCAAACAATTCTGCTAAAGACCCATTTGGAGAACCATTCCCCTGAACCAACTCTGCAGTGTGTTTTGCTGGTGGTTGTTTCCACAATTCGCACCTCCATTATTTCTGTGCACAGACGAAAGTATATCGACAGGCAAAACATCATCTCTTCCAAATTTTGCGAACGGATGATTCTGGAGGCTAAAAGTGGCCAGTAAGTTGACCTTTCGCATGATTTTAGTGAATTACAGGGTTGAAATCCAGTTCCGACAGACGTTTTTTTCGCTTCCGCGCAGCCAAAAAACACCAGGGTGGAGCATCCTGGGGAAAACATCGGCAAGATCGGCGAGATCGCCGCCGGGGGTGCCCCATGGAGTGAGGATATCCCAAACAGATAGAGGTTGGTAAAATCCGACCAAAATCTAGTGATAGATTACTTTTCTGTACTTTTCTACTTTTTGGGGGATTCCTATAGAGTAATTATTCCATGGTGTTTTTAATGGTATTCCTAGAATTTCCTAGACATTTGGCGCCTGTGAAGAAAACAAAAAAATCCCAATGTTCAGGATCCTTGGGCACTCACCGTGAGGTACTGAAACTAGGTCCGAGAGTCCGCAGGAGCGTGGCCGAGATCATTTGTGCATCGAAATGAAACAGCAGCCATGGTCAATGTATTTTGAAGCAAGTTTTTACTGGGACTTGGGAGCATACATCGATGCTTGGGGGCTTCGTTTTGAGCTCGGCATCTGAAACTGCTCCAAAGATGGAACTGGGATGGTTAAAACATGTGAAACTGCCAAAAAACGACCAACTTCAGGGATTTGCAGGGCCAAAACATCTTTCATCCATACCCAACTGGTACCAACATTGGGGACGAATCAAGATAAATGGGGGTATCGCAAAATTCAGTCCAAAATCAGAAACCAACTTGAATCCCAACATCAAATGCCCATAGCATCCAGTGGCTTTCAAAAGCTGTTCTAACGATTACGCCGGTTTCGCTTGCTACACGAAAAATCGCCAATGCCACTATTCATTGGAGGGAGACTGTAAATTCCTGTTTCGAGAGGTAAGATTGTCCAGAGTATGTTTGAATTTTGAGCATGATACAGACTGATACAGACCCAAAATGTGCTGTTGCTCACCCTGGAAGGAACCTGACGAGCAAAAAGGATCAAAAAAGCGGAACAAGTGACTTGGCTGTCCAGGGATGAACGAGAAGAGATGACGGGCCTTGACTTGAACCAGGGAATAGAAGTTCGGATTCAAATGCCATTGGGAACAAAACCCCGGAGAAGTTTGGTTGGCCCGGACCCAGAAAGGGAGGGCTAGGCTTGTGTGTTTGCCTTTGTTGATGGTGGCGTTGCAGCTGAGGCTTGACAAAGAGTACAGAATAGAAGAGGATGCGGAACATGGGCAGTGCTCCTTGTTTTTCATGCAAGTTGATTTGTTGGTTGGATGATTGCACGAAACTTACGAAAATTACCCAGTCTAAAGGATGTCAAACGAAACTGAGTGGCTTCACAGTTGACGTTTCTGTTTCTGGGAACTCGTGTGCTGCGCAACCCTGTGAGGAGTCCACTGACTTCCCCGAGTCCCCCGAACGACGGGCACAGGCGGAATCCCCGAGTCGCCAGGGCGCAGCGGCGTGGCTGGAGACGAAGGAGCCGCTAGAAACCCAGTTGCCGTTACGCCCAACCTGAGCTCGTGGGCTATATTCGTTTGTACTGTATAGTATGTATGTATGTATGTATGTATATATATATATATACATACACATTAAATTATATTGCATTAAATAGTATACAATAATGATACAACTACTACTAATGAGAATAATAACAATAACAATAACAATAACAATAACAATGACAATAACATGTTTTTCTTTTTCAATGTTAGTAATACAATTAATAGTAATACTTATAACAACAATAATACTAAATAACATAAGTAATAATAATAGTAATAATCATAACGATGATAAACATATATGCATATTACACATTATTACACTATATAGTATGAGACATATATATATACATATGTATATAGATAGGTCTTGTACTATAATAACTATATGATATACATATAATCCTCCAAAAAAGTGGATGGGGCATTCTGGGCATTCTCAGCAGACATAGGTTGCTAACGGGTTGGTGAAAGATGTTTTATTTTCCATCTCCAAAAATGGAGGATGCCAAACACCAGCAACTGCTTCAATTGGCGAGGCCCCTTTACCAGCCTGCTTTATTATTTCCAGCCTGAGAAGGGTTTATTTTTGCTACTGCAAATTCAGAAGTATGTTTTTTGTTCAACACGACCAAGCACCCGGAACCAATGGTTTTGCGGCTCAGTTTGAGTTCCAATAGAAACCCCCAAACTTAAATGCTTCGGGTCCGTTCGCGTCCCGATCTTGTGCTGGAGGTTGCCACTGTCCAACATTTTGAGTAGCAACTATGATGTTCCGGTTACACTCTAGCCATTTGATACGGCAAAGACAAATTAGCCTTTGGAATTGGAACATCATCCACACCATTGACAGTCCGTTGACCATGGGATGTACCTCCTACATTCTCCTACCTGGTAAACAAACCT